CCAGAAAGAGGCCGTGTACCTTCCACACTGAGCCTCTTCTGGATTGTGACGACTTGATGCCTTCTTAGTTAAACAAACAAACACAAGGGAAGGCAAAGGGTGAATGTGCTGCTCCCAACAAGTTACCAGCTTATGAATGTTTCTGAATCCTCAACAGCTGCTCCACTTATTTGCAGTCTACAGCTGCTATTTTGCAGTTTCCCCATAGAAAAGAACCAGGAAAAGCAAGGTACTCCTGCTATAAGCAGTTAATCTAGGAAAACATCCCCTGCTAGAGGGATGTACTGCAGTCTGTGTTACTACCTCCCAGAGAGTATGATACTCTGGTTGAGGAATGCTTTTCAGAAATTATCTTCACGGCTAATGAGCTCCTGCTGCAACTGAGGATATGACCCAGAGTCAGACTCTGCATCTCTGGCCAGTTCTGCTTCCCTGAAGAGCACAATTCTTGGAGAAAACTTCGATAAGTAACATCCTTGGGAAGATGACTCAGTTTTGTGGCTTATGCTGTTAGCAGTGTAAGAGTGGAGAAGGCAAAAAGCTCTTAGGTTAGCAATGAAATCTTGCACAAGATCTGTCTTTCAGAATGTCCAGAGTGCACTAACTGGAGACTGGAAAGGTTCCTGCTGCTGACTTTTTATTTCCTTATACCCCCTGGCTAGATCATTAAACCAACAGTGTTTTTCAGCATGCTTTTTCTTGATCTTGAGTCCACACTGATAATTCCCACTGGAAAAACAATCTCCCTTTATCTTCACATTGAGCACTGTTTGACTTTCCAAAGCATTCTGAATATAATTTTTACAGTCCTTTTTTTTTTCAGTCCTAGGTAACAACATTAAAAGATTCTCTTTGGAGTCTCTTGTATAAAATTCACAAGGAGCAATTCCCCAATCACTATAACCGATTTCAAATGGTGCTAGAAAATATTATTGACTCTGAACACCAAAAGAAATCAGTCATCCTCTAAAGGGGTTACTGAGATCTGCAAGGATGAAGAGTTAGGTACTAAACAGTGTTTTACATTGGAGGATCCCCAAATATTTGAAAACATTCGTAGTTACCTCTGTGGCATTATTCCCTAGAAAAATTGTTGAAGCACTTCAGACAAAGATTTAGAAGATGAAAACTTTCAAAATCTTTAGTTATATACTCCTTTGCAGTTGTACAGAGTAGCCTCAGTCAATGTGCTCTACCACGTTTGGTCCAATTCTCACAGATATTGATGCTAGTTATTTCCATCAACTACACCTATCACATTAAGCTACCGACTGCAACCTGAACATTGAAAAACCTGAAAAATAAATAAGCACATTCAAATCTACCAAACACACCACATGAAAATGCAAACATGCAGCAGCTGGATGTGGACATCATCCAGCACTTTCAGTGCAATGTATGATACACACACTGTATGTAACAGGCACTTACAGAAGCAGTAAAGAACAAAAACCCAAAAAGGCATCCACGACGGGCATAAAGCAGAGCAAATGAGGCTCCCTTCCTCATTTCTCGCCATAACGTAAGAATGTAATTCAACAGGGGCTGTTTTAACATCAATGTCTTCAATGCTGTGTTGCAATTCCATATTATGCTTTTCTGCAATGTTTATGTCTCGTAAGTCCTTCTCTGTTTCCAAGTTCTGGTTGACTGGTTGACCACCTACAAATACTATAAACATGCTCGTGGCCAGCACCATTACAACAGAATTTCTGCCTTTGAAATCACATATTGCACTGCTCTCCCAAGGACTGTCTGAGCCATGCACTCTGAGGTCACAGCCTACTTAAGGAGTCTGTCCAGTGGTGAAGCTAAGTCTAGCAACAGAAGCACACAAAGATCTTGACCTTCTTTCTCCACCAGTGTTTCCAAGGATCCACTTCACTGATGAACACAGCAGGCATTCTTCCTCCAAGAACACTGATTTCAAATGGTGCTAGACAATAAATAGTTAAATCTAAACCACCATATGAAACCAGCTTCCTGAGGGAGCTTGTTTCTAGCCAAGACCATATTCCTGTAACAATAAATCAGAAGAGTATCTATCCATGGTGGTTTTTTCCATCTTTGTTTTTTCCTATTAAATAATCAATGCTTTTTCTTACTTCCTGATTCTGCTTTGAGTCACCGAATGCTCATTTGTTTTCTATTACAGCGCTACCAACAGAAACAGAACTGCTTACAGCACTATTACCCTGAAGAATGTTGTTAATCCAGATTACAACACGTACCAGGGCGTACCGAAGGAAGAAGGACCCTCATCCTACTTTCAGAACTGCCGTCGTCCTGGCACAGTGTCTGCCGAGGTCTCCCCACAGCACCGAGATCACCGAGGACGTCAGCAAGAGAAGCACTGCTGCAAACTCCCTCTAGTGACAGCAAAACACCATGCGAAATGCCTCCTGCTCAATGCTGAAACACATTATTTTTAGCAGCAGTAGCAGAAATAACAGCGTGTGAAACAGTCTATGTATCAGTCCCTGCATGCTGACTCGTCCCAAAGATGGACCAGTCCACTGTTTGTGGGTATTTGTAACGCTAGAGGTGTGTGCCCAAACCTAATGTGAGGGCTGCATTAATTAACTGCTCAGCGCTGGCACTTACCACCTGGTTCCACCACGATTTCTAGGAAGTCTGACACAAGGATTTTTCTTGGAACTCTATTACTCAAGTGTGTTTTAAACCATTTAATCTTTTCAAACAGATGTATTTTTTATAACCTGTCTTCAATGTCTCATTTCAGCTGGCAGAACAAACATACCCAAGTCGAGTCTACGAAATCAAGTCAAACAACTCCCAGTGTTTGCACAGATGAGGCACAGCCACGCTCACGGTGACATTCTGCGAAGCACTCCATAAGCACATCACAGAGCTTCAGTGAGAACAAATTACCCGAAGCAGCAGCAGCACAACAGCACAGCGTGTTCTGATGACAGAAGGCAACTGCTGTGCCCTGTGTGGCTGTAAAACAACACTGTTCTGGCGGGCGCAGGAAATGCTGATGCTTTAACACTGTGGACAATTTCCTCAAGGCATGAAAAAGCCTCAAACTTTGCCCTGCTGCAGTATAATTCAAGAAGTTAAGGGCTGTACTTGTTCCCTTCTGCAGTGTCATACCTGCACATTCTGTGCCTGCTGCTGGCAGCTCTGTGCAAGCTGACTTCAGCTGATTACAAACATCACCCGAGATGAACCCATCCGCAGTCTCCTGAGGACAGCCAAGTAGTGTTAAAATTGTTCTCTTCAGGCAGCAGGAAATCATGTCAGAAATGTAATTAATTACATCTATTTCCATGTGTTAATTACCTCCAGAGGTGTGTAACTCTTCATTTACCACGGCGACAAGCTAAACAACTAGCTGAGCCTAGAAACTGAGCTTCTACACGGCTGAAGATGGAAGAGAGAAATGTGAAATGAGCATAGGCAGTTCCCAGGGAATATCTGTTGGCAGGACAGCTTAAGCACTCCCCTCCCAGAAAATCTTCAAGAGAAAATCCAACAAATTTGGCATCAATCTGTGGGACAAGGAGGCAGTAAGGCTTCACAACCGTTATCTTCCCTGGTCAGAGGCAAGGCTGAACTGCTGCAGTGTGTGTCCATGCACAGTTACACGTGCCATGTACAAGGGATTTGCAGTTGAGGTTCAGCATGTGTGTATGTGCATTTATTGCTACTCCTACAATGGGTGCAGACCACAATGTCTCAGTATGACTAACCAAAGGACAGACTCTTCCACTGAACACATCTGTACTTTTGAAGAAAGTGTCTTTCAAAAAATGTAAGAACAATGTGCAGTTCCAGAGCACAGACAGCGAGAAGCACTCCTGCATTAGGGCTGTAAACTGTTCTTCTAAACTGGAAGAACAAATGAACTACAGATAGAGAACTAAGCTACTTCTCCAAGACGCCTCCTAATTAGCTCCTTCAACTATCAGACCCTGTGCATTTTTAATGAATCTTTAGATCTTGGACTTCTCTGTCCCTTCCACATTTGCTAGCAATAATTTCTTTGTTTAACTGGAGAGGAAGAAGAGGAGCAGAGTAGACAACACCTTCATGCTGATGATTCTACTTAGTAGAAAAGCAGGAACTTGGGAAATATAGAGAGCAAACTCAGCTCAGTTAACAGACTTACATAAAAACTGGAAATGCACAAGCTTCTTGTTTCATTGTTTCTGTAGTTACAAATTAACACTATTCTGTACCCTTTCAGAGGAAATAAAGCATCAGCAGTTTGATCTTCACAATATTACAGAATTCACAAGGCCTTATCTGACATCAGTGAGATTACTTACACGAGTGAAGCTACGTCAGAGATTAAACCACTGCAAGTTTGGAGTTTTCTCTGGTTTTGTTTTGCTGCTGAATAATTCTAGTGACTTACGAGTGGTTTAGCTGCAGCCAAAGGCTTAGCAGGTCTTTCAGTGTATTGCTTCCTTTCCATGTTCTGCCATCACAGGAGCTGCCTAAGCGGATTTTGTTAAAGCTTTTATCTATGACAATTTTATGATCCATCCACGACAGGCTGCAAGACCGAGTCAGCCTGTAATTTGGAGACAATAGCCTTCAAGTGAGTTACATCTGACAAATTGCTCAACTTACTGTAACTTTTCAAATTCCTTTTTTTAATAAAATGTGAAGCCAAGAGAAGATGACAGATTGATAACTTTGCAGAAAGCCTCTGTTAACAGAGCGGCTATAGCATGGGAAGCAGGAGTGTGAACTTCCTACTCAACACTTGGCCATGTATCTCACTTATGAGTTGCTGCAGATACCCCACGGCAATAAGACCAAGGAACCATAAAGGAATTGTTTGCCAGCTGAAAAAACAATTAATACTTACTGCAGTGAGGAAGGGAAGAACTGCCTACCAAGACAGTAATTGAGACTGTGAAGTCAGCTACAGATGTCTTTAAAGGGTTTTTTCCCCAGTAATTTTCAATGAGAACTTAAAGCACTGCTATTGGTGAAAAGCTGTTTCATCTTTTATTTTTCTGCACCATAAATCCCCCAGCGTTTTCACCACCAGACAAACGAATTCCAACTATCAAGAGAGCTCACCCGCTATGTAATTTGTCTTTTTTTGTTCCCTTCATAAAACAAGCAGGAGAAATGTTTCTAATTTGCAAGGCTGAATAAATACCTACTGCGTTTGCCAAGACTTTATTGACATCCACTGGCTGTCCACAAAGCTGACTTATTTCTCAGATAGATGGTTTATCTCAAGCAAAAAAAAAAAAAAAAAAAAATCCAAACAACACAAAACCCCAAGATATTAATCCTTAAAAACAAACAAATGAACAGTTCAATAAATATTTCTACATCCAGTGAAACCCGTCCAACTGGGATACAATACCAGAGCAGGTTTTTGCTGACAGCAAGACCACTTAACATTGGGACATCCTCCAGTGCTTGCTGTGCCTCTGATGCTGCAGTTCATGTCACCTCCAGTTGTACTGATGCAGCTGTCCTTGGGCCACGCTGTGAACAAAACCATTCACATGATTCTGATTCAAAGACAAAAAAAAAAAGCCTTTATTTGCATTTCTGTTCCTTACTAAGATATTTTCAGAGCCCTGGGTTTTCACATAGTGAGCAAAGAGATGGCATGGCATTGCTGCTGACCTGGAAATAAATGGATGGGAGTAGGCAGAAACTTATTAAGCTGGTGCTAGCTAGAGACATGAACTGTGGAATCACACCTTGGATAACATCAAATCCCATCTCCCTTGCTCAGCTGGTCACGAGAAACAGAGATGAGAGTTTCAGTCTGCAATGAAACACTTCTTGAACTTACAGACAAAAATCAATACATCAAACTTTGAGATTCTTATTGAAGTTTTACTAGGTCTTCATAAAATGCCCAGCTTTCACTCCTGGCCTGCTGCCTGAACTTTTTTTTTTTGCTGAGTAATTTTGTTATCTTAGAACTGGCAACATGAAAGAAACACCCTAAGCTTTTACAGCTGTGATTTAATGACTACAAGGTCTGTGCTGGCTTGACATAAACAGGTAACAAGAAAAACTGTTTAGTCACTTGGGGAAGGAAATTAATGACATGACAAATCATTACTGTTAAAATTTCCTACACTGATGACAATACTTTGCATACCTCGCTTTCCTTCCTGTCCTTTGTTTAGCACTAATGAAAAGATCTACCAAGCAAACAATTGGGGGTATTTCCTTTGGAATGGGCGAACAGCCCATGAGTAAAGACCAGTATTACTAAGCAAACATCCATTTCATTTGTTCTGAGCGCACAATATGCTTATGTTTTTCATTTTTGAAGCTTCTCAAAGCCTCTAACAGGAAAGGTCTGATGGCTAATGCTGCAAAGCATTTACAAGTACCACCTGATACCAAGGAGGGACACAGATGTGCTATACCTTAGGAAAAAAACAGCTTCTACCACGTCCAATTGTCTTTTTTTCTGAACAATCCATTATGAATGAGAAAGGGTTGTCCTCAATCTGGAAAAAAAAAAAATGTCAGAAGCTGTTTGTGTTGCTCTTGAAATAGACAATTGAAAATGTAACCTCATAATCATTCTTCTCTTCCTCCAGACTCCTCTACAGGCCTTGAACCCTTTTCTCAAGGTCTGAACTTTGAGTGCTTTTACAGTCAAATCAATAAAACAGGCAACCAAAGTTTACTACTAAACTCAGAAAACAGACACTGTGTTCCCTGTCAAATGAGTCATTTTGGACTAGAGACCCAAAAATTACTGAATGATAGAAGTAAGATTTAATTGATTTGTTTTACTTTGAGGCACTGAATCCCTGGCAGTGGCATAGCCCCATACTAGAGTAAATAACTCCTTGCAGAAGAAGGACCTGTAAATAGTAGGAGCCAGCAAATCACCTACTGAATGAAGCAACGCCCTTGCTATGCAAGTCTTTGAAACCCCTTCATGTTTATTTTTTGGGATTATTAGGGAAAAAGAAATCCTGAAAATACAAAAGCAAGCTTATCAAGCTGGGGAAAATACAGTGAGATGCTCATATGACAAAAACTATAGTATACGAATTATGCATTACAAAAATTACTGTAAAAAAAACTGACTTCAATTCTTACAGGGGGAGAGAGATTTCTGTGCACTCAAATTCAAGCACAACCAGCACTCACTGCTCTGCAAGGAATGATCAGCAGATCTACATGAACATTATCATCATGCTTCTTTTTGCAGTACTTGTGAGATTGTGAGGCAGAGAACAGTGAAACGGTCTGTCTAACTCCTTGGAATCTGCCATCCCCAAACTCAGAAAGAGCTACTGAAACAATAAGGGAACAGGAGCAGCCAGGCTTCTGTCTCTCACTCCACTATTTCTGCCCTTTTTCCCATCCTGTGCCCATCACCACAGCAGCTGACTGTTCCTCTGTCAAACAGCAATCTTTGGGGCAGCACAGGGGCTGCAGACTTGTTTTCTTTGGAGGGCATCACGGCTTTCTGGACAGAAGCATCACATGCTGCACTTCAGAAATTGTACAGGAGGATCAACGACTAACTTAATTCCCTATTTTTATAAGGTGTGTTAGAAGTACATTATCACTCACAGCAAAACCCACTGTTTCTTCCTGCTATCTTTTCACTCTACAAACATCATTTTTTTCATTCCCACTGCTGTTTTACATACACTGTAGTTTCTTACTGGGAACAGGGAGGAAACCAATAATCACTACGAAAATAAAACAGTCCTTCAGTTTAAAATATTTCCTCTGACTTACATCTTTTGGAATCTGAAGAGCCATGATCTTATTTAGAAACCACCCCGGCAAAGTCTGTGTTACGTAAGATCCAAGGGAAGTGCTAATCCTAATGCTGAGCAGAAATGGCCCTGTCACGCAGCACTCAAAACCTACACCTCCTGTCTGGATTCTTACGCCTTGCACTGCACCACGTCCACTCATGCCTCTACAAAGGAGCTCTCCAAATGAGGCGCTCGTAACTTTTCCTCCCCTCTGCTTATCTTCAGTACTCGATTTTCTTACACTGCTACATAAATAATCTTGCCAACTTGCCTGTCAGAGAAAGAAAGGTGATCTGGAAATAATTCCTCTTAGGCATGACTCAAAAGTAACAACGAATACACACCAAAGTGTTTATTTCTCTGTATTTTTTCTGGTATCGCACTGACTTCAATTATGACTATTTCGAAAAGATTCTCTGATAACTGGAGGGCAAGTAAAATAAAACTAGCAGAAAGAAGAGAAGATAGCAAATAACAGAAATAAGAAATCAAATCAAACCCAAGTGTGATTATTTTTAATCCCAAATGCATTCCCATACCTGATAAACAGGCTGCAGAAGATCTTCTAGCTGAAGATTCAAGTATTCCTGACCCCTCCCATGAGGAGTGACACTGCAAAAAACAGAAAAGCCAAACCAGAAATATTTTCAGAGCGAAACAAACCACCTTTGAATCTTTCTTCTGTTATGTTTAAGAAGTAAAGAAAGAAAAATTCATTTTTTAAAGATGCCTACTTCCTATGTACCGGGCTGCACAGTCAGAACCACAGTACATGCCAGATGTATTTGCCCACATATTTCTCAGCAGGAAACACATCCCATGTAGAGAATGTATTCCATCAACTTACTGGAAAGGGGATTATTTACCTTTCTGTTTGTACTCATTTAAAAGTAGGCTTTCCATCAAAAACATGTTCTTTCTTTGGCACGGGGAAGGCACTCACAGAAGATCAGCACCTGGAATTCATAAAAGCATTTATTTAAATGTACATTTACATTTTCATTACAAAAGTATCTCCTTATAAAGGCAGAGGAAAAGTCGCGTGGCTATCACACATTGTCACCAGTTTCCTTTCATCTCAGATTACCACATTCTATTACAGATGAAGAAAGCGGTACACACAAATAGGAGCTGCTGACACTTCCCACCACTCCAGGAACCCCCCCTCTCTTTGACCGACAGAATAAACAGAACCACCCAGAGGTTTTATGTACATGTATTTATATATTTAAAAAACCTCATGTGAGAAGTTATATCTATACATAACCTTTTCTGCACCTGTTATTGTAGATCAAGAAACGTGACCTTATTGAACAGTTTTTCTTCTGTTCTGAAGTAAGAGGGTTGACAGACGTACCTGAAGATTTTAGGGACAAATGACTGGCTCCTATGTTATGCTACAGACTGGAAAAGTCATAGAATCATAGAATGGCCTGGGTTGAAAAGGACCACAATGATCATCTAGTTTCAACGCCCCTGCTGTGTGCAGGGTCACCAACCACCAGACCAGGCTGCCCAGAGCCACATCCAGCCTGAGCCAGGAGATGAGAGCCATCTTCAACACACATGCAGCAGAGATGAAGGATTCCCCATCACCTGGCACTAGCATTGGCAGCACTGAAATTCCTACATCCCGTGGACCACAGGCAGCTTTGAGCATTTACTATTCCTCGTTCCTGAACCTCTTCATAATGCTCAGTTCATGCATTTGACTGCTGCTACAGGACAAAATACATCTCTAGGATAAAAACAGGCAATGTGCTTCAATAATGAACACTGATGCCATGCCACAGAAAATTACAGAGCTAATTATAGAATCACAACATAAAGCTCAACATATTAAACAGAGCCAAACAAGAGATGTGAGAAAGTGCTGGATTTTGAAACCGATTTTGTTTTGCAGAGTATTCTTTGCTTTAACCTATTGCAGCTACTGAACAGCTATAGCTGTACTAGGAAAATACGTTCCCATCTGAAGAATAGAACATACATGTAGCTATTTTGCTGGAACTTGCTTCTCATAGAATCATAGCATCATTAAGGTTGGAAAATATTTCTAAGCTCATCCAGTCCAACCGTCAACTCATCCCCATCGTGCTCACTAAACCACGCAACTCAGTGCTGTGTTCCCCTTTTACTTGAACACCCCCAGGGAAAGTGACTCCACCACCTCTGTGGGCAGCCTGTGCCAGTGCCTCACCACCCTTTTTGAGTTTTTCCTAACATCCAATCTTCTGATCCTATTAGTCCCCTCTCTGCATCCAGCTCCACATTTTGAAGCTACAAATAAGGTCAGCAAATTGTCTATTGAGCATCAAAACAAAGGAGGCTGATGTTTCTGGTCTTATTTTCTCTGGAACATGAGAAACTCAGGTTGAGCACATGATAAAGCTATTTCATTACAGAGATGTTAAGGTTCCCTATGGTTTCCAGGGAAGCACTGTAAAACTGCTGTAGCAGATCAGAGTCCTGATGATGGACCAACATACATCAATCTGAGAGTTTCATACAGATCAGAATCAAAGCAGTTTGTTTTCTGTTTCAGTGCCTGAGATAAGGAAGGGTAAAGAGAGATCAAAAGAAAAGAAAGCGTAAGGAATAATCAGACAATAAAATCTCCCATGTAGGCAGATTACCAGCTTGATGGCCTGTCTAATCCAGGCATCACAGGAAGGTACAACCTTAAAATTGAGGCTTTAAGGTACTTCTGCAGCATTTACAAGAAGGCCTGCATGAGAGAAAGCTCCTTTCTGTTGAAATGATACGGAGCTGCAGCTGACCACTATCAGTTCAGATGTGTGAAAGTCAGGGAAACATTTCAGGAGACAGATGAAATGATGCACACCCCTGTGCATCCACAACTTTACTGCAGCAGTAGCTAAACACGTGCTAACAAAGAAAACTTCCAAGACAGAAGATCAGACCTTCTGATGAATGCATTAAGAATATGATTAGCAGAGATCACAGAAATTAAGGACGCTGTGTCAAGATTAAAATTCAACCTGGACAATGTGTTGAACGTTTGCCCAGGGAAAAGAAGATGAGGATGAAGAATTAGGGCTAAGAAAAAGTGACTACAGACTCTGAAGATTCAAATGGATTCAGGATACAGAAGCTAGCCTAGAAGTGGTCTTTCACAAATGGTTCAACACACCACTTGTAAAAATGTGGCTACTAAGGAATGACGGTGACAAACCAAATCAAAACAATCCTGGTGACTTACTAAGAAGAGTTAGGTCTTCATTCAGCCCACATCTGAATCCTCCTATCTACAATAGAGAGATAATTAAATCAATTAATCAATGACTAAATGAGCTCACTTACTTCATGGCATGACTTTCATTTAGTCTGATCTGTCAACAGGCATCCTAATACCAATTTGTAATAATTTGCAAATTCAATTTAATTTCTTAGACGCGATGAGAAAAGGGGAATTGTCACAGAGAACAGAACTGCATTAAAGACACAGAACTCACTGAGTTAATGCACAACACAAATAGCAGTAAGCATCTGTCAGCAAGGCCCACTCCCTGCTCAGCAATGCTGACCATTCTGCATTCACTGTGCAGTGGTTAGAACAGGTTTGACACGACATATGCAGCTGCCAGCCCACAATGGTGTCCCCAAAGCACTGCCTTGCAGCTGGACTGAGTTTTCACGATGTATTCCCCTTTCAGCCCCTTGCAAATAATTTCATCAAGAGATTCCTTTTGCACAGAATTGCTTTGGATTTCTTTGTGGTTTTAATACTGGCCAAGTAAATTCATTCTAAATTATCCCCACAATTGTCTACTGTAGCAACTGTGAAGGTTAAAAGGATGTAACAGTTGAAGTGATGACTGGGGTAAGTAAGTATGTGCCATGTAACGTCAGCTGCAGAAAAGGACCTGGCAAAGTAAGATATAAGAAAAAAAAGAGAAAAAAGGAGAAGGCAGTCTTCAGAAGGAAAACCTGATAGGGATAAGAATGTGGTACACACATAGATCTGCATGCAAACTCCCAAGTGTAGAGCAGGTGACAAGAGGACAACTTGGCACAGTGCGGGGCTGTGCAACCAGACTGTGCAAAGTGCCCACATTCCGTAGCAAACACAGAGCAGCATCCTCCAGAGGCATGGTCTGCCTCAGCAACGCTGGCTGTTCTAGCAGCTTCCTTTCAGCATCGAGAGAAAACAGGGAAGGAGACACAATCAGCAGAGAAGGGAAATCAGGCGAACAATGATAACATTAGTAGACTATATTAAGCCCTCTTTAATGGTAAAATTAAGTTAGGTTTCTATCAGCAGCAAGCCAAAATTTTTTTTTGCTGGCGCAGAATACACGTGACTGGAGCTTCAGGAAGCCCACAGTCTTTCTGCTTAACGGGTGACAGCACAGAGCAGCATGACATAACTGTCTGTGAAGATGGCTGCATGGCGAGCACCCCCCGCCACCAGGCTGGGTGCCAGACATGCAGCCTGTCACCATGCCACCAGCCAGTCCTCTCCCCCCTGCTCACATTGCAGGTTAAGGGATGTAAAGGGAGAAACTGTGAGTTATGTGCCAGGCTTTTTTTTAATTCTGCCTAAATTTTGGCAGGATGGAGAACCTGGAGTGATCAAACTCAAGTAGTTGTTTGGGTGCCAATGTATGATCTTAGAGCCTGGTGTGACCTGCTGCTCATGATTAAAGGTGTCCCATTGGAGTGATTCTCATCTAGACTCAACTGCAACCCACATTTAGGTAAAAAAACAGAACAAAACAAACCATCAGCACGAGCATCAGGCAAGTCCCCTGGCAGAGCCTGGAACCCATCACTCAGGTTGGAAATCAGCAAAAATTTATCCTCAAAAAGCGTGGTGAGGCACTGGCACAGGCTGCCCGGGAAGGTGGTGGAATCACCATCCCTGGGGGTGTTCAAGAGAAGGGGCAATATGGCACTGAGGGACATGGTTAGTGGGCATGGTGGGGATGGCCTTACTGTTACTCTAGATGATCTTAGAAGTCTTTTCCTCATTTCCAAATTAGATGACTGTATGATACGAGAAAAGCAATGGTGACACAGAGCTCCTTCTCTATCAAGGCAATGAGGAAGCAGCAGTCTTGCTACAAGAGTTCCTATCTAAAAGCAGGGTGTGTTTTTTACCATCATAGCCTCCTACTGCACCCTCTGTCCAGCCCAAAATATGGAAGCGGTGGACATCTAGCACAACACCACGACTCCTGAAGTGGCCACACTACTCCTGGCACCCTGACAACCCCTCTCAGAGCTCACCTGAGCATTCCTGTGCTTGCTGCCCACATACACACATGACTGGATATATTGGTGCCCCAACTCTTGCTTAACACATCACAAACAAGGTTTCTTGGAAGTGCCTCCCTCTATCCTGATTGCTTTGTGTCCAAAATAGTGAGAACTACATCACACCCCCGCTATCCTCATAAGTCCTGAAGTGTTCCCCAACAGCCATGGCTCAAAGTTCCCTTTCTGCTGTGGTGAAAACTGAGCAATTCTGTGATCCAGCACTTTTTCACAGCAGATGCAGGAAGTATTTCCTCATCCTGGCCCAGGCAGTGAGTTCCATAACCAAGAGCAAAAATCCAAGGACATAAAGCTCAGCATCTACGTGCTTTTCAGAAAATTCAGAACCTTCTCAGTACTGCCTGTTTCAAAAGTGTGCATGCTGCATGTACACAGCTAATGATGTGAAGCTAAAAATACACCACTTCTGCTGTTACCTCTGTCTGTGTGAAACTGGTAATATTCTGGATGAAAGTTTGTGTATAGGAAAAGGAGTAAGTAGAAGAATCTTGGATGTAATTGCAAGGACAGTACAAACAGAAAGTATAATGGATGCAAAATAGAAACACAGACTGAAATAAATGGAGGAATTAACATGATTATGTCCGAGGTGCTGTAATACATGACAAACTTGCAGCAGAACTGTTACAGTGTCTTGCTGACTCTATTATTAATC